CCGGATAGTTCTACCGCCTAATAGATAACAGCAGTGGTAGTCAAAAATGCTCATCAAAATGTTCGCCCGCGTATATGTTGTCTCCCCTTGCCCTGTCTGCTGTCCAGTTGGCTCCCAGGCACAAGTTTAACGCACGAGATGCAGCTACCAGCGTCATTTCCACATATTGAAACCAACCTCCTGTGCGGCTTCCTCAGTCTCGATGTTTACTGTTGTCTGTGTCTCTTTTCGTCATACATTGAAAGAGCCTCCGATTTCGCGTCAATTCCCTTATCTAATTAATACACAACTCCGCAATTATATTATTTTGCTTTAACTCTCTCGTTTCTTTTCTTCTCTTCTCTTCTCTTCTCTTTTCTTTTTCTTTTTCTTTTTCTTTTTCTTTTTTTTTTTTTTTTTTTGCAACTTCGCAAGAGGGTTTGCTCTCGCCTTCTCCCTTCTGTCGTTTTCTTCAATAGCCCCATTTGGACTTCATTAGTTAGTCCTATGTGGGGATAGGTTTGAATCCCAACCTCCGTCATGGATCCCATCGGAGAGGGCACGGAGGAAGATTTGCAGAGGCGACCCTCTAAGGATCCATCCTTGGATTCCGATCGTCTTGCAGTCGATTTGGTGCCAGCAGTGGCCCGCAATGACGCCCACAGCTTCAAGCGATGGATAAAGAGCATGCGGAAGAAGAGGACCCCAAATTACGACGGTCCCCCACGCTATGTCGTTGGATGGCCTGACGACGAGAGCAAAGACGAAAGCTATCGCATGTTTCCGCCGTTCTATCGTACCCAGCCAGATCAATCGTCCACCGCATCCTCGTCAAATCTGCATACGGTCAAGACGGCTAGTGTGACGAGCTTGAGCTTTCTTACCCGTCCCCGGACTAATACCCAGACTAGCACCCATAGAAGTGCATGCCATAGCAGTGCCTTTTCCGGATCAGATGCCAGGGTATCCATTGACAGCAACAGACTGACATCTACGCTGTCTCTCGATGAAGGAGCATGGAACCGTGCCGTTCAAAGACGCCAGGTAATTCAGGAGATTTTGGAAACTGAGGTTACGTATCTTGCAGGCTTAAAGGCACTTGCAGAGGTACGGTTGATGGCATTAAATATACCCCTTTCTTTAAACCCTACAACAAGGGTACTAACGCGTTTGAAAAGGTCCTTACTACCCTAGGGATTACTGAAACAGCATTGCAACGAAGCGCATTTGATCTCCTGAGTCTGCACGAAAGCCTCCTTACCAAATTACAGGAGGCAATGCCTCGCTCAGATAGATTTGTGGTTCCGATATGGGCCACTGCGCGCCGGCGTATTAAGTTTGGCAGCGTGGATGCTAGTTTGGCCAAGGCAAATCGCAAGTCGGTAACGACAAGAAAAATTCTTGAGCCTATTGATTCCCGGATCAAATCTTCAAAAGCCATCGCAGCAGAACCCAAAGAAGCCGCCGAGGTGGCTCGGATACTGCAATCAATGGTAATCCACTATTAATCCCTTCCACCCATTGCTTGGGCCAAATCCTAACTGAGCTTCCTCTTGCTCCAGCTTCCACAGTTTAAGCTCTATGAAGAGTACGGTGTCAAATATCAGCTTGTGTCAAAAGAGATAGAGCTGCTACGGAAGTCAATCACAAGCTGGGATGCTTTCGACCATGGGATTGAGGCTCTTCTGAAGAATCTGGCGTCAACTAATACCCGTGAAGCCATATCTAATCAGTGCTTCACGCTTGGTGATCTCCTCATGAAGGTTTGTTCCAATAGCTTATTTTTCTGGATTTAACAAGGCTGCCACTAACAATACTGTGTCACAGCCAATCCAACGGGTTTGCAAATATCAGTTATTCCTGGCAGAACTCCTCAAAAACACACCCGTGGCTGATTGCCCCTCCTCACATGCTATAATTGAGGGCGCTCTTCAGCGTACAGTTCTAGCATCGCAGGACATCAATCGTGCCACTGGGGACCCAGTTGCCAAAGATCGAATTCGGAAAACGATGCTTCTAGGAGAGAGGCTCGAATTCGCGAAGAAGGTATGGATCGAGACAGAGCCATCATGAATAATTGCTCTTTTCCCACGCTAATTGGTTTCAATTACAGGGTGATCGTAGTATCCTTCACGATTTTGGGCCCATTAAGGTTTGCGGAGTTCTGCATGTCGCTTATCAAATCAAAGAAGGGCTCGCAGGGGAATATATGGTGTGCTGCCTGTTTAGCAAATATCTTCTGCTAGCTACCGCATCCGAAGATTACAGAAAGTTCAATGCAGTAGCAGTAATTTACGTACCGGGAGTCAGGCTAGAGCCTGCAGACAATGGTACAGGTAAGTTGTAACACCGATCCGTCTGCACAACACACCTACCGGTAATGTGCTGACAGCGATTAGGTATTCATTGTTCGTATGCCCCCTTTTCCTGGAAAATGGTCTTTGAGATGAGAAAGCAAACTTTCGAAATAGTATTAACTGCATGCTCTGAGAGGGAGGCAAGCGGGTGGAAAGACAATCTGCTAAGACAGTCACTTGCTGAGACAGCTCATTCTTTGGATGAAAGTATTATTTTGCAGAAGTACTCCCCGATCCAGCTGGCCATGAAACCGTTGTCCGCGGTTGTTGTTGCCGGACAGGTGCATAACCTAGTTCGTCGATCATCGGTTCACGGTTCCTTGTTCAGCACGCCGTCCAATACAGATTGTGTTCGACTTCTCATCAAAGGAACACAAGCTGTACCCCATGACGGCCAGCCCAGAACATCCACCCTTCGTAGATCCCAATCTGTCCAACTCGCACGCCAGGTCGTTATCCTTACTCCCAAGAGACAAGATAGGATTCGGCTGGAAAAATGGCTCTATGACGTTTGGACCTGTGATGTTCTTCCGTACCCCGGAATGCCCGCATGGAGAGGAGAACATTTGATACGCTCATCGGCTGAATCTTTTATTCGAAGACTGAGTTCTCGTCGACCATTCACCAGGCGATCCAGCAGTCTCACCACCACTCTCACGGCTAAGTCCATTGAGCGTATCCCCACGTGCAAGGATGAGATCATCTGGGATGAAAAGGGGATCGATGAATCTGATTTATCAACTCCTAGTTCCAGCAATAGGTATGATGACATCCATGAAGAAAATCACGACCTGGACTATCGTTCGTGGGGTCCGGATCCTCAGCAACGAAGAGCACCAAAGGAACAGGGACGAGGGGGGAAGAAAAAGGCGGCCGGCTCTTTAAAGAGCGTGCTGAAACCACCAGCCAAGAAGAAATGGAGCGTTTCGATCTTCAAAGGAGCTTCTCCAACAGTACCCGCCATGGCCTCCTGATCACTTCTCCTGATGGTGGCGGCCCGAATTGTGGGTATTTTGCACGTGTGTACATACTATATAACCCGTTTCACGACTCAGAAAAGGCAACCAGGGGCATTTGGGGGGATAATTGGGGATAGGAGTTATTTCATGACGGATTGATTGAAGCGTTTATGGATGTATGAATGACAGTACGTAACGTTAGATAAGACAACTAGGTCCCTGCTACCTTTGTAGTTAACCTATGAGCAATGAGAAATGATATGAAACTGCAGGACGGAACGAAAATGCAATAATGAAATTTTCAATGGACGCCGGGTTTCTTTCACCTTGTTCGATGATTGGGGGGATCTGCGCCCCGCAGTTACGCAGCAGTTAACTAGTTAGTTAAATGTTCGGGATCAGGTGATCCCTATGACATTGTGCTCGTCCTTGTTCCAGTATAGACTACTGGCGATTAAGGCCTTTTTGCCATGCAGTGTAACAGTCAACTGGTTACCACAAGGAGTTGACATTATAATAACTTGTCAGTTTATGTTGGATTGGTTGCTCTTGTAATTGGGAGGAAAGGCTAGTTACTTCTGTAGATATACGCGGGGCGACCGCTCGGGGGCGACGGCATTCGCTAACTACGCCCCAAACAATATGATTTTACTAATCATGCAAATACTTCCGTAACTATATAATCAACCAATTTGCACGAAATATAACTATAGGTTGCGATCCACTGGGTTATGTCTCCCATGTAAATCCCGGAGCGGGAGCAAAATTTTTGTCGAACCTGTGCATATGTGCATAACATGTAAAATATGTTATGCAGATGAGCTACGCTGTTGTGGTCGTCCGACGGAGCCGCTAGACGCGGAAGTGATGACGTCGTTGAGCAGCCAGCTAAGCAATAGTGACATCAGCGTTAGGCGGGAATTCGCGAGCCGAGCATGTATCCCGGCGTCAGCAGGGGTTTGTCCTTGATATTGAGATATGCTTTGTGTTGGGTTTCAAAGGGAGGCGAGACGGGGATTTTTTTTTGTGTCAAAGGATATAAGATCGTTGGGCTTGCCGGCTCTCTCCTTTTAACTATAACCCTGGATTTGCATCAATTCAACTACAACTCGCAATTTTAATTCAATTTTTATTCTTTTGGAAGTCTATTGTAATAGCTTTCTCTTATATGTAACTAACTATATGACTACCATCTGTTGTTGATACATTGACGTTTTCTGTGCTTGAGTATCTCCTATCCACACCTGTCTAATAAAGCCCCGGGAAGCTACACGGCTTAACCCCAACTTGTGAGTCGTGAAAGCTGGATATCTATTCTTCACCTTGCTACTTGGAAAACTGACTCAAATGACCTTGTCCTCCTGGTTCTGGAATCACTTGGAAAGTACTGCATATACCCCTTTGCTATCCACAAACAATACCCGCATTCCGCAACAACGATATCATATCTATTTGGATTTAGAATCCACTGATTCTGAAAAAAATCCCGTCCGCTTTTCGAGTCTTCCATCTTCCCATAGCTGCAACGGACACCCGTTCAGTCAAGCTTCGAGTCAAATCAAATAAAATAAAAAACCGCTTATACCAACGAAAAGCAAAGAAATTGGAAAAGAAATCATGACTCGCGGAAACGTCAGTGTCTATAAGGTCTTCTACAAGGGCACCTACGATGACTATCTCGTCTTTATCGATGACGTTGCGACCCTCAACAAATGGAGGAAGGACCGCTCTATCCCGCTGGCGCAAGTCGTGAGTGGATTTCGGGTCTTTGTTACACATCGGTATGCTTTCTTTCGGTGGTTTTCCGTTCCCCATGCTTTCCATCTCTTCACGCGTGATCGCCCCCTTTCTTCCCGTTTGTTCGCTATTTGAGACACAATATATCCCACAAGGTAATGTACGGTTATTGACATGTTTTCTGGTTCTGTTCCTAGACATGGAGCCCAGGGCATCCATGACGGGGCCAGCAAGGCCATGTTGGAGAATGAGTTTGGGACATCGAGCGAAGATGAGTGCATTATGAAGATCTTGGAAAAGGGGGAAATACAGGAGACTGAGGTATGGATCTCTCTTTTGTCATTCTTGCCCCTGGAGAGTTACATCCGCTATATTTTTACTTTTTCGTCTTCTTCATTCCGCAGTCTGAGTCCGATGTGGTGTCTATTGTATCATTACAAGAGAGAGAACGTATGAACTAACTCTATATGAACAGACTCACGAACGGAACGCAACGAGGAACGAGACTATGGGTTCAAGAGTTGCTCATTAGTTGTGTGATTAGTTGACATTCTTCTCTGTAGCAGAGATCTGCCTAGGGGAGAGAAGTTAGAAAGTGGAGTCCTCTAAAGTCTGGTATTTTGGGATTGATATTATTGATTGTAGTAGTAGTAGTAGTAGTAGTAGTAGTAGTAGTCGAATTGAAACACTGTACAAAAAATATCCCTGAAGGGATTGGGAGGGGGGTTTGGGGGAGAGGGAAGCTTGAAGATGCTCTGAAGTCCTTGATTCTCCATATTCAAATTTTTTTATCTACCCTAATTACCCTTTGCATGATGGTGACTTGCTCCGTAGTAGATTATTGTATGAATATCAATTACATGGACTTACTATTCTCTCTTTTGATTTCCTCCTTCCAACAATCGTGTCGTACTCTATCGAAAGGCGTGTCTTTTCCAACGTCTTTTGGAGTGTAGAGAGCATCTGAAGCATGTTTGAGCGGTGGTTGGAATTAATATAAATTGAACAAGCCGCAAGTTTGCATACGAATTGTATTTCATACGATATTACTCAGAACTTAAGCATTTAGCATCGTCACTTCCCACAGACAAAAAGATATACCGATCATTCATAACATGTTATCATCACATCAAATTGGCTGTTAGGAGACTCGGGAAGAAAGAGACCGGAAAGGGGTGTTATATGACCAGGGGAATAGGATGTGTTGAGATAAGAATGAAATTAAAGTTAATATCAAAACCAAGCAGTTATTATCCTTCCCAGTTCGACTTGCTCATAGTCAGGGTATGGGGTAAGTCTTCCGCCGAACTACACTCTCCAATCACTGTCGTTTCCCACCACCCAGACTCTCCTGAATCTTCTCACCGATCATGTTACCAACTTTACCCATCACCTTATCAGTGACAGTTTCTATATGGCCAAAGGTGGAGTTAGCCAAGGGGTATTTGCAACGAATTGTGAGAAACATGTCCCAACCAAAGAAACAGAGGAATTCATTTGAACGCACCCTTTTTATCGCTAGAGGCCCCGTATCCGCCAGAAGTCTTCGAGCCATAAGTTTCACCTTCATCACGTCTACCTGAGCTGAAAGAGTGCTTGTTGCGATTAGATGAATCATAAGAGTCATCATCGTCGCGTCGGTTGGTGCTGGACCCATACGAGGAGGTCATTTTGTTACGATCGTCGGAGCCAGAGGAATTCTTGTTGCTTCCGTAGGTATCGTTACGATTGCTTCCATCATAGCCAGAGGAGCCGTGAGAGCTCTTTTTCTCATTGGAGGAGTTGTAAGAATCATTTACAGTGGAGGGGGCTGTGGAGCCATAGGAGGACACGTTGTTGCGATTGCTGGACCCATAAGAGTCACTGACACCGGCACGACCAGAGGAGTCGTAGGAATCGCCGGCCCCTGCGCGGCCGGAAGACCCGTAGGAATTGTTGTCGCGTTCGCTAAATCCATGGGTGTCGCTCACCCCAGTGCGATTGGAAGAGCCATAGGAGTCGTTATCATGCTTGCTTGAACCGTATGTGTCACTTCGTCCAGAAGCTCCGTATGAATCATGGCCTCCTGGGCGGCTAGTGGAGCCATAAGAGTCGTCATCATCACGCCTGGTCGACCCATATGAATTGTTGCCCCTGCCAGATCCATAGTTATCGCTACCACTTGAGCGACCAGAGGATCCGTAGGAGTCGTTATCACGTGTGTTGGAGCTGTATGTTTCATTCTGTCCAGAGGAGCCATAGCTATCCTCATTGCGACGGCCCTAGAGATATTGTGAGTAAATTGTGTAGCGAGAATCGATAGGGACATACGTTGACTCACGTAGCTGTCACTGCCTCTGTTGTTGTAAGACATTTTTAGTATGAATGGTGGTGCAGGAGAGAATCAAGAGAAGCGGAATGATTTAGTTTTGAAATGAAATTTCAATCAAATCAAGCAGGGTCCAATGCTTTTAAAATAGTTATCATATGGGTGTATCCAAGAAAGAATGGCAGAACACAAGCAAAACCAACAAAGCAAGGCAGGAGAGAAACAGATATTTATCTTTCACCAACACAGCCGCCCACGCCCGATAGAGGTGGTAATAATGATGTGCATGGAACGCCGCTAGATCCTGTATGGCAAGCGTCGCCACCAGCTAGCAGCAAGCGTGGGTTCAAAGAGGGGATGACACAGCCAGCTGAGAAGGGTAGCCTGTCCAGTTCGAGCGATTCCTCGATAGTGCCAGCAGCCCAGAACATGCAGGATGGAGTTCACATTCCTCAGTTCCGATAGGGACGGGCATTGGATCTCTGGGCGGCGGACGTTTTGATGATAATATCCTTACACAAATGCCCAGTGGATTAAATATTCCTTTGGGACAAGCAAAGCTAACCGATCTGAAAACTCATCTAGCAGAGGCCAATGGAAGAGTCTCGCTCTCGATTCCGTTCTGCCCCCTCCCCAGCTAGGATCTAGGGACCAGCCGGTAGACAGTTGGTGGTTCTGCATGCTTTGAAGAGCAGCGGTTTGAGGTCTCCCACGGAATAGTTCAGGTTAGGCTTGGGATTCGGCGCAAGAATTCGAAGTTTTCAGTTAACTAAAATACTCAGCGCATTTTTCACTTAAGCTTGGCAGGGAAGCAGATGTGTGGTGGCGAGATGCATTACGTTTGCCGAAGACAGCAACTTAGAAGCGTAGCTCGACAAAGCACGCAAGGTGGTGGAGTTTGATGTCAATAATGCTGGTTGGATAGTCCCACTGGCGGTCGTCGACTCGCCGGCCAGTGAAGTTGAGGATGCAGTTGTGGTGTGGCTGTGCGACTGCCACTAGCCTCAGTGACATCGTTAGCAGCCCACGGATTATTCACCAAGGCAACTATGTGTGCTAGTTAACTAACTGGAAAATTTGGGAGATGACTGGAAGATGACCTGAGGGCGAGGATGACTCAAGAAGGTCGGCGTTGTTATGAACATAACTAACGTATCAGTGGTTGCTTGGCTAACCAACCAAAGAACCGGTGAATATCTCTATCCTACCGGGCAAATTGGTGTACGTGCGATTGCAGTCAAAGCCTCTGCGCTATTTTTCTCGGGATGCTGCTAGCACCTACACTCTTCGAAATTAACCCTGAAACAATTGCTGGTGGGTAATTGAAGTTCCTCCAAATCGATGACGCTGTCATTCAAGCGAGGAAAGGATATGGATGACGGATATTCTGTTGCCGTGTCAGAACGGGCGGAGGAGACCCACAGTTCGCTTGGCTTTGAAAGGCACAAAGTCATGATCTTTCTTGGTCGCACCTCCGCCGTTGTGGCAAATAAATGGATGTGATTTGTGTATTTCTTACAGCAGGGATCGCCTCAGTGAATAGGGAATTGGGCCTATCCAACAAGGGCCAGGGGAAAACGACAGAAGAAATTTGTTAATCAAATAACATCTCAATGCCACGCTTCGCCGACCCCCGCAAATCCTCTGAATGTGTTCGATTTCTATTCTCTTGAGATGCCGGTCTATTTGCAAAGAGAACTGGAAGAAAAGAGGCCCGAGATGTCGAAGCAATTTGATTGGAAAGTTGGTTCAGAGATGGTGGAATATGTAACAGCATTCCACTGCTCTATGCATGGCGATTTCACTTCTTGTCTTGATTACGGAACCGCGACTCGAGGATTGGCCATTAGCATTACGGAACTGCCCCCCGTTCTCCCAAGTGCCTGGAAATGTATGTCCATCGGGATACCAAGGCACAATATCAGATCATACTGGAACATGGGAGCCAGTTTCTTCTGGGATTAGAGCTATCTTTTGCGGTCCGCAAGACTAGTCCCTGCGGAAGACAAAGGCCGAGCGAGATATGGTGTTGATTCTACTCCAGAATCTCTCTCTCGTTCAGTGTTCGGTGGGTGCCCCCACACATTGACGCTCAGCCGAGGTTAATGGCACAGTGAATTTAGCTATTTGGGCCTCCCGCGTCCTAGATCGTGTTTCACTGACAAAAATTCCATTCAATCAGCATTAATAGAAAAAGAGGGTCTTTCGGCCGTCTCACTTTCAGAACATCAGCAAATTTGGACGGGATAAAAACTTCTTATACGGAGGCGGAAGGTTTGGTGCAGAGTTTAAATCCCCACTAGACATCTTCGCATGAACATGTGCTGATTTCTGTTCGCATTGCTGTTCAGATCTCGGCTGATTGTTAAATATCAGAATACCGAGGACGGAACATTGCAAAATGGGAAATGAAAAAGGAGAAACGGGTTTAATAGGAAAAAAGGCCATTATATAGACAAATAAATATTTTGGCTTATATTTAGTTACCAAAATCGAGAAACCATTCATCATTAGGCGTGCGTGTACATATATAGTATGTATCTTATTTCCCCACACCAACATTGGAAGATCCTAACAAGATGAGAAAAGAGTTCCGAAAAATCTCCATAGACTTAGTTACATACATCAGCGGTTTTGCAAAATTTGATTCCTTAATCGAAAATACGAACACAGACAGAAGGAGTTAGATCCGGTCATTTCTTCTTTCAGAGAAAGTTTCTATCGACAGTGAACTAACTCACATTCAGCGAAACAAAGAGGAAAAGAAATGTAAACAAGTATTTGAAGACCACAGTCGGATAGAAAGGGAAATCGTTCGACATGGGAGCTGAGATCTAGCGAAAATAGATCAAAATGTGAATGGGAACACCGCCTTCAGTCAGCCACTGCTTCGTAACCAGTTGTAAAGCGCATTTGGAGACAAGCAAAAGGAATGCAGAGACAGAAATACAGAAACGGGGGCCATCATTGCAAATCATACATGTGAGAAAGAGGGTATAACGCTTTAACAGAACAACATGACAAGAGGGGGGAAATACCATACACACAAATAACCAACTTATGTATATAACTACCAAGAAAGCTCGTCGGTTTGGCAGAATTGGGTGCGTGAGCAATCTGCCTATATAAAAGGAGTATATAACGTACCTGATAGATCCAAACACGCTGCACCTTAGTTGATCAGAAGTGCTCTTTCCAAAACCTGAACCTGACTTCGTTGGTAGTACAGTCTTTGGCGGCCTTTTTGATCAACTTAGCTGCCGGATTGGGCCCACAAAAGTAGACACCGACATCCGTCCGCAATGAAGCGTCTAATCCGGCCATATAAGTTTGATCAATCAGGCCATTCCTCAGAGCTGAAAAGAACCGCTGAAAGTCCGGTCGGCCGAATTTGGTCCCTGTCCGTAACTCCGTGAGAGGATCAACTTCTTGACCAACAGAGTTGAGATATATATTGGCAGCAGTATCCTGGTCGAAACGTTGTGTGAGATAGGTGTGAATGCGTAAGAACTCTTGCCCGGCACCGGCATTCTGTGCTGACTGGGATTCTAATGATGAAAGAAGGGCATGGAACCATTCGAACGAGCTAGTGTCCTTGCAGACCCAGATAAATTCGACACGGCGCAGGCGTGGTGGTGGATTTGGTGATGCTCGTAGATGCCAAATGTTTTTGAGAATAGAAGCCCATGGGGTGACGCCAATACCTGTTCCAATTAGGATGGCGATTTCATTGTCAAACACGTCTTCAGCGGGAGCTCCGTAAGGTCCATCGATTCGAATGTTCGGCATTGTTTGTCCGTTCTGCATTGCGATTTCGTACATCCCCAGTGGGTCAAGACCATCAATATCTTTTGCTTGCTGCGGTCCACAACCTAGACGGTTACCCAATTGTTTTGTCCAATCTCCAACTTGTCTTATGTGAAGGCTAACATAAGGATCAAATGGGCATGAAGTGATTGTGAAAGGATGCCATTGTGCTTTTGAGACGTCCGGAACATTGATGAATAGCCATTGTCCTGCCTTGTAACGGAAACTGGGCTTATAAAACTGGATTTCCATGGCATCTGTGTTACAGAAAAATCGGTTATTATGCCAGCTGGGTAGAATGTTTAGAGTGATACATACCATATGGATGTCTGACGACTTTTGTGATTTCCGAAGGTTTCGCAGCCCGTATTTCCCGATAGAGCCTTTCGAATAAGTAAATTCCCCCTCCCCACAGCTCCCATCTCCAGCCTTCGTAACCGATGCAATGGGTCCAAAAGTCCTTTCCCGCAAACGGCGAAAATGGGTTGACAGTATCTCGGACGAAGCAACCTGTGGCATGCGTGTAAAGCCCCAGCATAAATGGAATGAAAAGATGGTGCGTGTACCAAAAAGTTTCAAAAGCCTGCTGCCGAATGCGATGATGCGCAGTGGTGTACATCAATAGCATGCAGAGAAGCATTACATGGCCTGTCACTCCGCCAGCTTGGGTGTAGTGAATCTGAACAGCAGTCTCTTTTCGGACTTGACTTTTCTCGACATTGAAAAAGCTGTAGAATCTGTTAGTCATCCCTTGACCTCCACAAGTTTAAAGATCCAGAGAGTAAACATACTTCACATAATGAGCGGTAGTATGGACAATGGAGAAGAAAAGCAAAGAATATGCCACCTGCCGATGGAACCACTGGGATTCATCCAAAGGAAGCCAACGAAATTTCGGTCGAACCATTCTCACGAGAGTCCTACACATAGGTAAGAGAATAAGTGCCCCATCAATTGAGAGCACCAAACCAGCACCACGAGAAATCCACACTGAAAATCCCAACGTATTCAGGGGGGCCAAACGGGCATCACTGATTTGCTTCCACCTGTTTAGTATGTCAGCGTATGTCATCCAATACAAACATGCCTATCATAGGAAGAAGATCAGTTTTACTTACCATCCAAAGATAAACATGCCGATATGCATTCCATGAAACAGGACGTAGAAGAGGATCTTGGATGCACTGAAATTTGATTTCCACCACACACGATCCATGGCCGCGAAAAAAAGTCAATGGTTCGATCGATGGGTTAAAGAGCAACAAATGGAACAAGCTATGCAAAATGGAGTATAAGAGATACTTTATAGAGGCAAAAAGGAAGGAATGACGACCAGCGATCCCTGAGAAAAGAACGAGCCCGGATACCAAAGGCGATGCCTTCTGGGGAGAGCAGCCAGTACACTGACAACCAAAGGTAACGGAAGATAAACCAAAAGGGCTCCGAAGAAAGAGAAAGGAAAGAGATGGAAGGTAGCTGAGGTAGTACTTTAGTCTTAATGGCGGCTCTCCGGCGCCGGTCCCGCCTTGAGTGTGATAATAGACCGAAATATTAAACTGTAATATCACGGACCATAATCTCACTTTCGAGGGCTGCCCCCCTCTCCTGGAACCTCTTCGAACGCCCTCAGGACCAACGCCGCTTGCTCTCCTGTTTCTCCAGTACCAATTGGTTCTGAACTTTGTTCAATCCGCACTGTAGCACTATCCATGTATCCACAATAGCCATACGCTTGATACACGAAAATTATCTCAAGAGCCGAATTCCTCCTTAGTTCGCCCGACACCTCCCCGCTATGCCCTTGTGGTAATCAAATGATGGTAGAGATATCGATTGGAAAGGAGCTTGCAGTGAACAGAGTCTGTTTCCCCCGCGCTGATGAAGCTGTAACTGTGTTGTGGCGTATGTGGGAGAAATGATGGACGGGAATGGTCGCTCGTTTGGGACAGGAATGCAAACCGAGGAAAACCAGATCAGGAACAAATGCAACGGTGGCGCAGTTTGAGAATTGTTGGAGTTATGCCTGTTCTATAGGGATTTGGGATTCCCCCCCGTTTCTGAGGCACTGATGAGACAACCCTAAGCGCGTCTAGGAATCAGCTGGATTTTCGAGCTGGCTTCGCCGCAGGTTTATTCCGCTGGCAATCAGCACCCTAGAGAAATCGCTTCTTGTTGGAATTTCTATTACTTAGTATTATTATTATTGTATCTGCCTTGATGAGTTTGGTTTGTGGTTATTGTTGTCGCCGTTCGTAGTGGTGATGGTGTAGCAGAAGTGCTTGTGGTTGTAGTTACGCCTTTCCGGAGTGGGATGTGGTTTGATGAAGCTCTCGTAACGGCGCTGGTTGCGGCGCTGGTAGCCAACGGTTGGACCAACTCGTCTTCTCAATCCCAGTCCAGCCTTGGAATACAGCAAAGTCCACGAGATTCTACAACTGTGTCTTGCAAAAGATTGGCTCCGGTCTCGGGTGTGTTCTTCAGCAGTTTTGATGCAGAATTTCTGTGCAGATAGTAACCGCGCCGTGCCCAGCTGCTGGGTTACCTGGTTGAACAAACAGGATATTCGGATCTTCAGGAGGCCGTTTACCAGAACAGAAAAAGATCGGAAAACATCAGAAATGGATGTGATAGATCTAGGTACGCTAATTGTTGGGGGAAAGGGCTTTGAAATGTAAATGCGGGCAGTTAATCTTTCTCTATAGACACTCCCTTCTAAGCGAAATGGATGAGGCCCAAGGCGGACAAATTCTCTCCCGTAGCGTCAACCCAAGGGTGGCAGCAGTTCCTGCTCATAAGTGGTCATATATTGAAGACAAGTCTCATTCTCCCATCCAATGACCTTCTATGCTGCTAAGAGCGAACCCGCCATGATTGAATTGATTGTTCGCGGCCTTGGCGAGTGATTCCACTATCTCTCCCCAAAGTCAAAATGAAAATAAGTAACTTGCTAAATTCACCTGCGTGTTCAATTCAGATAAATTGGCAATCGGCCCTAGTTCCTCGAGTGCAAAGGGTCCCTCTATGCGGCATCGCGGATGTGCCAACAAAACCAGGGGATCCATTGGTAGGCTAATTAACGGAAATGCGAGGCCATGCTCTCTCCCTTCCTGTTGGAATTTCAGTTTTCCAAGCAGACGTCGAGCTTTCTCCAACCACCCAAAAGAATTGGAGAGGGGTAACTGACTGAGGCCTGTGTGATTTGTCGCAGTTTGAAAGGAAGACTAAAAATGCTAGTCGCTGAGAGAGTTTGTGTCAACCAGTTGTGACATTCATGCTGGCCATTGCTTCGGCGTCCCGGCCGATCCATCGAACAAGGTCTGAACCGGCCAATGAAGTGCATTCTGCAAGCGCTCAATCACCCTCGGCGCCGCTTGGCAGCCGAGTGTATCTTTTCTATTTTTGTCAAAACCCAGCCAACTCCTCGAGATGAGACCGACACGAGGAAGTCTTCAGACACATATCGCTCTGGTGCCAGTGGTGGAAATCAGATGAAAAACCTTCCAGCTCAAGATAACTAAAATACGGGTCGGGGGGGGGGGGGGGGGGGGGGGGGAGAAATACTGCTAAGAAACATTTAAAAAATCTTACCGCATACATTTGTCTCGTTTCTTCTGAGCGGAGGATAGTACCACTAATCCATGGAATGGACACGAGCCATTCTCAATAATACAACTGATCTTGGGTGGTAGTACTATACCATGTCCTGAAAGGGGACCTGAATACCCCAAAGAACTGTGGTACAGTGACTACGGGATGGAATGAACTTTCGAGGATCGCCGAAAGTTCTATCCTCTCAATTTTAGAGGAAATTCCGACTTCGGAAACTCACTTGTTGTCTCTCGCCCATCAATAATAGATGGAATAGGAATTCTCGAGGGTATGTTGAGGGTGGACTTCCACACGCTATGCTATTCTGTGTGATCATGTGTTGTGGCATGGCAATGGGGCTGCCATTGCAGCGCTTGGCCAATATGTGGGAGATGGGCCGTTGTGGATTTGAGTTCCACCTTTTGAACCCTGTGGGGAAAAATTGAAGCTCCTGCGGCAAACAGCGCAGGAGTTTAGTTGAGTTCAGTAGCGCGATGGAGTCAGAGAAGCTGGCTGGGTTGAGATAGAATGGTTTATTTAATCAGGGGATTCTCTGGGTTGTTCATGATGTCATGCTTGTAAGAGAGCAGTGGAATCCACTAACTATTAGGTACTGGGTGATAGATGGTGTGATAGCGCCCAGTCACTTGAGATCACATTATATCTAGTTTGGGAGGATTCAACACGTAAAATGGATTGGCTGGAAACCTGTGGTTCGAGTTACTGAGCGTCCCTTGGCAAATTCAGTATAATTTCGTATCGAGATTGAAGTCAAAACAAATTGCAGACGGGCCTTGACAGCTTCTATCTTGTCGACTCTACACCCAACTTTCTCCACTCTGCGCAGAGCATTTGTTGTGCTATATGTGATATTACCCGTTGTTCAACATGATAATATTCCGTTTTCAGCGCGAGATTGGGTTGGTCAAGTATGCAATAATAAACTGCAAACTGCAGCTGGTATCAGATGCGGGCTGGGAGGTTCCAAACTTCCCAGGAGTTATCAGTTACCAAGTCCTTGAATTTCTCCAGGTTGATTTGGGACAGCAACTAGCCTTCACCTAGGTGAAGGGCAGAGAGGCCAAGGGGCCATGCATGATGATGTATCCTCGATCACATTTGCACAGACGGCAATTTTCCCAGGAAAGACGGTGAATCTTCATCCCAGAGGCTGGGAGTTTAGGACGGGAGGGTCGACAGAGAAGACTGGCCTGTCTCCAGGAGTCCCACCGAGCCCCAATTTATTAATAGCATAACTAAAGATTGAAATCAATGTGCTTGGCCTGGGACCAAGCCGACCACAAGCCCATCTCGGGCCTTTGGTCGTCTTTGATCTCGTCAACTAGTTAACTACTTTCGACACAAGCCTGTAGCACGGCTTCGCTTCAGGCAAGCAGTGAACATCGGCCCCTCCATTGGCTGCAAGCCTGCAAGCTTTGTCGTGTCTCGTCTTGGTAGCAACCCAAGCATCACACTCCCCGCTCTATCATTCGTTCCACCATCCCCTCTCCCAATGGGCTGCCGACAATGCCGCCCCGTAGGTCCTGCTTGGGAGACCATGAGGAGAGGACAAGAAGCTGGAAATGAAAAATCCATATTAGTGCCGTTCACAAAAAACCAAAATAGTGTCAGAGATGTCGGTCTGTGACATGGTTGAATCCTTTTCAAGGGCCTAATAATCACTCCTCTGATTTCTATGTTTTCTCCCGGCTTTCTCTCTGCAACGACTGTAATTCAGTCAGTTCCTCACATTAGCGCCACAAAAGTGCTGTGATAGCGAATTGCATCCCGGGGATTTTTTCAGAGAAGAGGGGTTTGGTTAGCCGCGCCCATGAACGAGGCGCATACCCTCTTATACAGTAACCATTCCCGCATCCTGCGGTCACAGGTCACTAATCCTCATACACTACATTGTAGCATAATAATAAAAATAATAATAATCATCTACACAAGCGATCGTTATTCTGATCTATCATCGGGATAAGACCGCAATTTAATGCATGGTTTCCCCTACACTGAGCCCCTCTTCTTCGGCCAAAGATCGATACTAATTTTCGCATCTCCAACATCTTGTAACGCATCCTAAACGTCCTCTGCCGGAAGCTCACACGATATTTCATGCATTTTCGCACCGTCCCAGTATCGCATACCTGTTAAACATTCAGAAGCCCCTGTCACGGACCAAAACGAGCCGATCATCGAGGGGGGAAAAATTGCCCGCTTGAAATTACTATTGTTCCCGTAACCCTAACCAAAACCCCCCCTCCGGGGAGCAGGCCTGGCTGCAAAAGCGCAAAACGCAAAGTTCAAGCTTGGTATCATCATTATTCCTACATTACCCGCCAAAGCGCCCAACTCTCTCTCCTCCATGCTCCCCTCATAGTTGTGAGGGAAACAGCATCGCTGAGCGACAGCTTTTTTTACCTCGACGAAGTTCCACCAGTTGCGGTCGCCGAGTCTCAAGTGTAATATATTATCATCTATCTTTCGCTGGTCGGAAATTTTCCTGTGCGATATCCGAGAGATTTATTTGCCAGATTTGAAAGCGCTTGAGGCAAGCAAAGGGACTCTGCTTCGTTTCTTGGGGGTTTTGAGCAAAAATAGCGTATAGTTCAAGAAAAAGAAATAGGATAGATCAAGGATGGGAAAGTTAATTAAGAACCACTGGGCTCGACTGATCGTCCTAACGGCAGCAACATGTACGTTTTCTTTTGGTTCAATTCCAAGATATCGCTTTTCTTCACTTTCTACCCGCTAACACGTTATGTTCTTCTCCCAGACCAATTCGCCGCCGGAGTGCACGGCTTCTTCTGGCCCAAGGTCTTCTGGGACTTCCTCACAAAGAGCCTCGATGGCGCCGTAAAACCAGTTCCCGTGCTGCAGATTCTGAACGTATTATTTGGACTACTATGTCTGGCTTGGGAATGGCCACTGAAACCCCTCGCCGGTACTGCGATGCATCGCAGCATTGAGATGCGACTGCTGGTGTTCCCCATCAGTACCTTATGCGCGATATTGCTCTATCAGGGCACCAATTCGGCGATATATTACCTGATCGGAATGATTGTGTATTTCTGGGCGTATAGTGAAGGAGAGGTGAGTAGTCTTACACCCGATTCCGACGTAGAAACCTCTTTCGTTCTAGGTCGAGGCACCCCGATCTAACTCGAATTTCTCATTAGATCGTTTGCCCCGAGCCTTGGACGCTGCCCAGGAAACCAAGGCCTGCCTCATCGAAAGTCTAAGGGCAAAGGAGCGAGTCCGTCCTTTATAGAAGAGACTTTTCTGTATCAATTTGACTTGACTGTGCATGCGTCTGAGCCATTAAGTGAACAGAAAAGCACAGATTACGCTCATCAAAAGGCATTTTCTGCTCGCATGAAATCCCTTCTTCACCTGCCTAGATCCATACCACATTTTCACATTCATATGCATCCTCATTTTGTTCCTGGCAGAAAGTACATGGGTCTCTCAACTTATGTGGTTTTATTCGAGCGTTCATATAGATGGCATTGTTTGTTCTGGTGTTCATTTTTGGCTCACACTAATTATTTCCCTTCTACCTTCTGCCTTGTTTGTCATTCAGTCGCCTTATGGGTTTTATGGTGGGACCTATTATTTTATGGAAGCAAGGAGATTCCCTCATCTCCTTTTCGTGGTGGTGTTTTGGGTTTGAGTAATATCTATCAGCAAAGCGATAACTGCAACTTCTGTAAAAACGAGGAGGGATATCTGACAGGATAGCTTCTCTCTAAACGTAAGATAGAGATCATGTATATAGCTTTTCTCGTACGAATGAACGCATTGTAAAGTAGGACAATCATGGTTGATATAATTCTCCGTTCCATGTATTTGTCAAAGAATTGCTTCAAACTAGCGATGCAGCTTTTAAGCATTTCTCAAAGCCTGCTGCTCAATTTTCATCTGACAACAACTCTCATTTTTTCAACAGGTCAATAGTTAACTTTATCTTAAACCCAGACATCACATTAAGCCTTTTCGTAACCCGTCCCAATAATTCTTTCCATTGGATCTATATCACACTGAGGAGGTCTTGCACAGTAACTACATCGCAGCTGGATGTATCATTTGCAGAGAACAAGAAAGCAAGATCTACCGTTCTGTTCTGCCATCTGATATTGATGCCCTTATCCCGGCTAACTAAACCTTATTGGGAGCGGCCCGTAGTTCCAAGGCTATATAGCGCAGCATCCCTATCTCTGGCCTCTTTAGAGCTAACAACCACATCGCAAAGTTCAACTAATAATAACCTTGGAGGCATTGTTGCAGCCTGGGGCCTGGGGATACGAGGCAACGCATCCTCTGTGTGGTCTGCCACAAAAACCCCTTTTCTCGTCTGACAAAGATCCAGCCTGTGATTTTGCAATAACTATAAGTACTCTTGAACCAGGCAGCTTTGGTGTTTTGACAGACACCTTTGTGAACTGACTAACTTCATCCATTGGGCATTATACGGAATCACTATTGCAGCTGCGATGCCCTCTGTGAAAGAGGAAGGGGAATCCAATGGAGATGACTTCGTCGCCTCTCCATCTTTCAAGGGCATTCTCAACCGTTTCATCTATGACTCTCCGCCTAAGAAGCCGCTAGAGGCCCTGGGGTCTCTCAAGCGAAAGCTCTCCAATGACGATGACGAGTGTATAACAGCAGTCCAGGAAATAAGACGCATCACCCGCTCTGTCTCCCGCGCCTCCCCAAGGCCTCTTCCGTTCCCTTCCCCGCAGCGGCAAAAGAGCCAATCTCAACCAGCCTTCCCATCCCGTAGAATCACCCCAAAATCCAACCATGCCACATCCCCTGTATGTAACCTCCGCGACACGATCCCTGAAAACCTCATTCTCCTCTTCATAGGTGTAAACCCGGGTATCATGACCGGGCAAACGGGCCACGTCTACGCCCACCCTTCCAACCTATACTGGAAACTCCTACATTCCTCCGGCATAACGACGCGCCGTCACCCCCCCTCAGACACCTACCGTCTACCTGAATTATACAGCGTCGGGAACACGAATATCGTCGCGAGACCGACGCGGGATGCAAGCCAATTATCGAAGAAAGAGATGGACGAGGGTGTTCCCGTGCTAGAACGGAAGATTCGAGAGAAGAGGCCTGAGGCTGTATGTCTCGTCGGCAAGGGGATTTGGGAGGCGGTGTGGAGGGTGAAAAGGGGGAGGGCGATCAGGAAGGAGGAATTTAAGTATGGGTGGCAGGATGAGGGGGAGAGGATGGGAAGGTCGCCGGGTTGGAAGGGGGCTAGGGTGTTTGTGGCGACTTCGACCAGTGGGTTGGCGGCTGGGATGAGCATGGCGGAGAAAGAGGCTGTTTGGAATCAATTGGGGGAGTGGGTTAAGAAGAGGAGGGAGGAAAGGGAAAAGGAGGGAGTTGCAAAGGTTGCGGTTCCTGCGGCCGTGGTTGAAAATGGGGATGGCAGTGTGGATAGGTGAGTGGGAAGGAGATTTAGTGCTGTATTTTTTAGAAAGGTGTGTTTTGGTCTACTTATATCCATATACCTGACGTATCATTTACGGGCCATTTGGTAACTATATAGACGGCGTTGTAGATGTGCGGATATCCTGAGCATTGGTCGTTTCGGCCTGCACTGTGCACACAGCAAGCAGATGTCCATATGTCGTGCTATTTTAGTCATATAAATACATACAGATAGAGATAGTCAATGCACAACGCAAATGAATCGCAAGAACGAATTATCACTACTATCAATGATATCGCTTCTTCCTTTATTCTTTTCTTTTCAGCCATAACACCAACCGTCAACCATCTTCATCACTCACATCTTCAGGTATATCAAAGGGCAGATCCCTAGCCTCACCAACCCTTCCCCCCCTTCCACCCCTTTCACCGTTCTCTTCAAACCACTCTTCCAAATCCACATGAACCCTCAACTCCTTCTCAACAAGTACATTCCACACTTTCCTCAGCTCATCCTTCCCCATTTTCTCCCGTAACCCTCGCTCCCGAAATGCAAGTAACACTAACTCCTTAGCCCACGGACAAGCACGTATTGCCCGGTAAAGAACCTCTCGTGCACGCCCCCACTGCAACAACGCAAGTTCAAAAAGAACATAGAGTTTCCAGGTGGAAGCACTGGATTGTCCGGATGGGGATGTCACGGCTGATTCTAAGGCGGCACGGGCAGAATGGACGGTGGAGCCGGCTGAGACGCCTCGATGGAGTTCAGCGTAAATGGAAAAGAGATGGGCAATGAGAGTCGATCGAATCGAGTAATCAGTTGTGGAGCTTTTGCTTTCATCATGCTGTGCCATTGAGTTAGTGGTGTGTTGGCGCAATATGGAGCGGACGCGATCTTCGATCCGGAACCGAGACTCGTTCCACATGAAGAGGTTGAGGAAAAGGGTGTTTTGCGGGAAGTGTGAAATGGCGTCCGTTAATTTTGAGCGAAGGATGGAGGGTTTGAATAACCTTGTTGCCGTGGCGTGGTGATAGAGCAGTTTTACTTTCGCCTGCAGGAGAAGCTCATTGAATATCGTATTTTCTAGCCTATGTGCGAGGAGGCGGGAATAAACTGTTCCAAAAACATTCATTGAAGCTTCGATATCAAGTTTCTCGGAGAAATAAACTAGTAAGGCATGACACTCGACAGAGTTGACGAATATGTTAGGGTTCCGAGATGTGAGACCATACTCTTGTGTTGTCTTGAGAAACTTGTAGAGGGTCAGTAATTTCGCGAAAATATTATTAAGGCTATTCGGCACACTTACCATCTGAGTTTTCAAAAATGCTGCTGGACTGATAACTGTGGTGGATTTCGTGACATCCGCTAAGATGTTAAGATCTGTGGCACCATTTGAAATCGCGAGCAATAATTGCACTGCCCTGTCGTTGTTGTGGTCTGCAAGTACTTCCCAGATCCAAGTTCGCCATAAGATTATGCTAGAGATTTTATCCTCGTCCTTGAAAGTGCCGCTCATCGATAGTGCTGTGGTCCAGACATGCTCCGCTGTTGCTATCTGGCCACTGCGAAATTCAATCAGAGCATATGCATTATATAGCTTCAGGTTCGATGAACGCTTCTTCAGAAGGCCTTTCGTATATTTTTTGGACTCCTTGGGATTGAAAGTGAACTCGAGCGCCACAGAATATTCTGCAAGATCATCGTGCTGAGGCAGGCGATTAACTAGGTGTCGCAGGGTGCGCCGAACCCACTCACCATCGACAGGACTCATATCATTCATGTACGATACTTGCCATGTTCGGAGCTCTGAAAACCAGTTTTCATTTCCAAATAATGTATCCAAATTGTTGGCAAAGGTAGGTAAAGGGAACATGTTTGCTTTGGGCTTTACGGTCTCATCTGGGCCATGAATAACTTCCGAGAACCACTTTGATGACTGGTCATCCAAATTATCCAGTAAATTATTGCGTATGAATGGATCTCTGCGCCATTGAACTAGGATATCCGCGTTTTCAGACAATGCCAAGGGTGGCAGGCCGCAGAAGATCATGAAGGCACCAATTAGCAAATCGGGCAAGTCTGATAAAGGGAGAAGGAAATCATTGATATCCGAGGACAGTATCACCCGATAGGGATCGTCTTCTTGGACATCATCAAGAGTACGAGCCGGGAGCCGTGAATGACGCATCTGCTGTCGTTCACTTTGTTCCCAGGATTCAATAATAGACCTTTCATCTATTTCCCGGCTGGCGGGGTCAGACTTAGAGTCGGGCGATGACCGTTCTCCGCTATCCCAGCCTCTAGCACCGACTTCCCCTATCCTCGGTACCTCACTGTCCCAAAATTCACAAAAGGCGGATGTGGCTGCATTTTTGGTTATATCTAGCGATTTGGGATGGAAGAAGTTAAACTCCAGCATTGCCTGCCAAAGCGCTACAGCGTGCTCTACAAACCCCGCCTCTCGCATGAAGCAGCTCAATCGAAGGATAAGATATATATTGATGACATTCGGCTCGGGGCTATTTTTGCGTGTTCTGTTGATCCTCAAACAATCTATGAAAATCGACCGACATTGCTCGTATGTAAAATTAACGAAACGAGTCTGCTGGATGTCTAGGTATTTAATCCAAAGACTGGTGTAGTCCGGGTTCACCTGTAGTACGTCTTTCCACTTGTTTGAGAGAGTTTTGGTGTCGTAGAGTATCGACGCTTCTTCCATCATACCGAGCAGAAGACGATCCCGAGGAGCTTTCAACGGCATTTTATTCAGGGCTTTCTCGTACATTGATATCTTGATATCTGCAACGCTCCTCTTCTCTGCTGCAGTGAGTATGCGCTGTCCATCACTGTTGGCAAACCCAACCAAAGAATCCTGATGGCGGATGAGCTGTAACCATCCATCAATATCATCTGGGTGTTCCTCAACTTTCCTGGATAGTTCATCATTGAGCTTGCGGGCATTCTCGTCATAAGAAGCTAAATCTAACTCTGAAACGGCCTCCAAATCCTCCGGGAGCTGTTCAGAAGGTTTGAATTTCCCTCTGACTGATCTGTAGTCAACAATAGGGTCATCATTAGACTCTGATTCCGTAGAAAACATTCCACCATGGAGCTTCCTTCGCTTTCTGGGTTCACCAGAATTTAGCGGCAAGAAATCTTTTTGAGAGTCAATTGCAGGAATACTCTCCGGCTCAGGCCTTACACGAAGGATCTTCATTCCCCCTTTTGTCTGCCTCCGAAGAAATTCTCTATACTTCTGCTTTGAGCTGTCGTAGCCAGCCACTCTGTGCCCGATTACCACAGTATTTGCGTCCCCATCGTCGCGATCAATCCGGTGACTTGTGGGGAGTCCGAGAATCCTTCCAGAGCCGGAGCGGTAATATTCGGGAATACTGTAGTGATGCAAAGTGCCGTATGTCACATTGTAATTGTCGCCCCCTCTGTCTATGAAAAAATATTCCTGCTCATCGCCTTTATTTGCCAACTGCTTGGCGATTTCGGGAGGTTTGGTAGGTATTGATTCTATCTCTCTCCCAATTCGAGAACGATGCTCACCATGACGATCCCGGTCGTCCTTCCGCAAACTGGAATGGCTCCTATGTTGCGAGCTCCTAGATTCATGCCTGAGCTGTTCATGCTTGCTAGAAACTCTATACTTTTCGTGGCAGGAACGTACTTCTGCTTTGGCGGAGGATGAAGCTGGCGGAGATGTCTTTGGCCTGAAGCTCGCGAACTTTGGGACCGGCTTCCTTTCCTGCACCGATACAAGTTAGCATGACCAATGTCAATATATCAGTCACTATAATAATGCGTACCTTCTCGTCCCCTGACTCCATCTCCAAGCTGTCGCAAAACTACTTTTCTCTGTTACTCGCAGCGTTGAGTTGACCTATTAAGATAACTGCCGTCGTGTAAACTTGCTATTTTGGTTAAATCCACTTTCGGGAAAAACTTCTTTTTTGGGCAGATATTTTTTTGACGGAATCTCTAACTAATTAGTATTTGATCCCACCGCACTCGTTCTCATGGAGAATCTTGGAATACCCACGATAGCCAGCGGAGAGGTCCCGTCTCTGAGGTAATTTCCCATTTGGTGATGCTACTGGAAACGGATCTTGTTTTTTAATTCCGAAAACCTCCCGTTTCCATCCTGTTGTCACAATGGCGTCCTCTCTCACTGCGCAGCTGTCGCAGATTGCGGCGACCTCCACCCACCAGCTGGATTTGAAGGCTCAAAGAGTTGCCCACTCGAAATCTTTGATATTTGAACAGAGAGATGCCGTATCTCAGAGTTTCGATACTCTTTATCAAATATGTTATGAGGGATTTCAGGAATTATGTGCGCTGGATTCAAGATTTTCCAAATTCAGGCGGACGATCTTCAGCGAGCAAAGCAAAACAGAAGATAGGCTGGATATGAACGCAGAACAGAACAAGGAGCTGGACACTGTGTTAGAAGAGTTTCTTGCCCTTGTTGGAAGCCGCCTTCTATTACAGCCTGCTGTCAAGGCGGTTGAGTGGCTTGTTCGCCGGTTTAGGTATATGTTCTCAATTCTGAGAATATTGCTATGATTGGCTTTTAACTGACTATCGGTCCTTCAGAGTTCACGAGCACAATATCTCCTTTCTTCTACTTACATTTCTTCCATATCATACGATGGAGTTGTTCAAAGCACTTCTCTCCATTCTACCCGAGAACCTCCCGCCGACTTTCAAAATTTTGAATCCCTACAGGCGGAGTTTGACTCTACCGCCTCGACACGCAATTGTCCATAGCGCCTCAACGAATAATTCTTTTTTGGCTGCTCTAAACCACTACGTCTTGCAGGTCAGCAAGTCTCGGGCCCATTACCAAGGCCTCCTGGCTTTTTGGGCCGGTGTCGCAACAGAAGCTGTAGCTAACATGCTAGACTCTACAAGCTCGGGGAGGCGACAGGTGGAAAGGAGGAATCAGGAGGATGTCTTGCTCCAGATTCTTCCAGTGCTGCATAGCGGATTCTGCCTTAGTAAGGTTCCGGAACTGGTCATCGGTTGCTATATGATCTGTATTGTGATCGCCAATAAAGCGTCACTTGAAGATAATGTTTTGGACGGACTCATGGAAGCTATCGTTGGAACCTGGAGTCAGGAGACCCGTTTAGCAGCAATGACATGTCTGTCGGTTCTGGTGCAGCACAAAAATTCTCCCGGCCTTCCTCGTAGTGTTGTCAAATCCATTACTCGTTTCGAAAATTCTCTTGACTTGATTGTTGATCTCCATACGCGATATTCCATAACTGGATTGCTCCTCGGTTTAATAGACGGATGCGTCCAGGAAATTCACAACCAGAAAGATCTGTCTCCGCTGATGTTCATTGACACTGCCATACAGCGTGACATATTGGAGTCTGAAGATTTAGCAAAAGTCATGGTCCTGATTCTTCGAGCAGCTGCCGACTTGCAAGCTTCTAGCCGTATGGCTGAAGAAAGCCGAACAATTCTCTCCAGGATGATTCAACATTTTACCGAATCAGAGTCATTGGCACCTATACTTCAAAATGCCATTGGGGAATCTAATATTGATATTAATGCACTGGAGATGGCCCTTGAGACAGCCCTGGGAAATATCGCAGCCCCAATGGCCATAGAAGATGTCGAGATGGAAGACGTTGCGGATGCCGTTGAAAAGGAGGATGCATTTGCTAAAGCGCTTGAGGATATCTCACAATCCACTGAAGAAGTTTCCTTTCTTGCGGGAGTGAGTTCATCTACATACGATCAATTGGCATATGCTTTTATACTTGCCGCTGGAAGCAAGGAAAAAGTGCTTAAATTTACTGATTTACCTATACTGAGACGAGATGCGTCTTTACAAAGTCCCCTTTACCTTTCTTTCTTCATTCGGTTTTTCTCAGGTCCATACCCTCCGGTTAGCAGAACAGCAGCTATTGAAATAGTAACAGCATATCTTTCCGAAAGTGTTTCCAAGTCCTTCAACATGCAAGCAATTCTCCCCTATATCGTTTCTTCACTCTGCGATCCATCAGAGCGAGTCCGGAGAGGAACAGCCAGTCTACTCGCCTCCTTTGAGCGGACATGTGCGAAGGTCAAGAATGAGGATGAGAGCAAACCCCAGAGTTCATGGGGCTTTGGGGATATCTACGGGAAGACGGAGCGATCTAAATCTCTTCGGTGGATATCTCCACGGAGTGTATACAAGGCCACCCATCGGGCTTTATTACCTGCTTTGGAGGAATACGTCCTGGATCCGACTCAAATAGGAAGCTTGTTAAAAAGCGCAATTCGTGGGACATCTTCTACTACAGATACTTCCGATTCCGAACTAAAAAAGTCGGTTCGACAGGAACTTTTTACATTCCTTTGTTCCCACGCTATTTTAACCCCCCTATATGCGGTAAAGATCCGCCTTCTGAAAATCCTTAATCACATTGGCAAAATTGGTTCTGCAACCAGAACTGAGGAGCTTTCTCCCATTCTTGACCAATGGAGACTCTTGGATGATGATAGCGTTGCTAATATCGCCAAAATCGAGCAAGTAAATATTCCCGAGTTGGAAGGGCAAATACTTGAAATAGTATCCGCAAAACATAAAAACTCCGTTGATATTCTCGTCTCATCCGTCACCTCTCAACCATGTGCTCCAAGGACCGATTTCGTGAAAGCCGTTTTCACGCGGCTCAGCCAGATCTGGCCGTCGCTTAAAGAAGATAGTAGGACGAATGCGGCAGATACATTTCTCGAGATGGCTTTAGGTCCATCTACTGTGGATGGAGAACTGCCGAATGCATGCAGGGATCTTCTCCTCACCGTTGATCTCTCTGGGCATATCCTCTCCCGCTTTCTTAACAAGATATCTGCGTACATTGTTGACACTGAGCCTCAAGGTTCCGCTGCAAAAAGACGGCGAACCAGCCAGAACAATATGGTCGCAATGAACACGAGGGACCCCAAGGAGTTGAGTCAGATGATTGGACAAGTTACATTCATCCTTGAACTTATTGATGGATCGAGTCCAGAAAATCATCCCCAGCTCCTAGGTGGCCTTTTCCAAACCCTTGCCGCACTGCACCATTTGAAACTGAAGCTCCAGGCGGAGATGGGTTACCTTTTGAGTCTTGTTCTAGGAATCATGCTTGCTATTATCAACAAAGCGAAGTTATCGCCCAAACTCAAATTTGATACGTCAGTCATTCGTCCTGACCTGATAATTGATTGCGTTCGCACATCGCAAAGTCCCCAAGTTCAGAATAGTGCTCTACTGTTGGTAGCAGGATTAGCGACTATTGCTCCGGAGCTCATCCTCCACAGCGTAATGCCAATATTTACGTTCATGGGATCTAATGTTTTGAAGAAAGATGACCAATACTCCGCTCTCGTAATCGATCAGGTATGTTTCTGCATCCGTGATACGTTCTCATTTGATGAAAAGCTCTAACACACCACGATTAGACCATTGATCAAGTGGTCCCCCCACTTATCCAGTCACTACACAACCAAAAGAGAGACGTGGTTTCCGGGACCTCAGAGCTTCTTCTCAGCTTTACTGCTGCGTTTGAACACATTCCATCACATCGTAGATTGCGACTGTTTGAAGCGCTGATTACAAAACTCGGCGCCGAAGATTTCCTTTTTGCGGTTTTCGCAATGCTTGCAAATAGATATGGTACTGATCGGGATGTTTTGGGTATGATGACCAGCCTTGTTGGCAATCTAGGAGTGGAGCGGCAACTTCTCGTAAGTTCTTTCGTTGTTAAGACCGCCCCGATCCCCGTCTTTTATTCTGACTTCCGCGTTACAGTCATATACCAAGTACTTGAGTCTGGTTCAAGATGCGTTACTGCCAAAACCAAATCTCTCTCATACTCTTCTTGGAGTTGGTGGTGAAGACGGTAAGGATCCGTCGAGGATCGCCGCCAACCTTCTGCAGACATTGTCTCACCTCCTTCAAAGCGCGTCCCTAAGGTCTCAGATGAACAAGGCCTTCGATTCTGATGATGCCGCTGTTGCTCCAATCCACAACCTATTCTCTCGTATATTAGAGCAGTTATTGGCCTTGGCAGATACTGTTCGAGGGAATAAACCAGTTAGCAAAGCCTGTGGTGATGCCCTGGGATCGCTCCTGGGAGCCCTATCATTGGTTGATTTCCTCGACACCATTGAAGTTCTCCTTCGACGACCCAATGATGATCTACGCAGAAGAGTACTAAGATTATTGGAAAATAGACTGGAACAAAGCCACGACAGGGACTCTGCTTCCCAGTCAAGAGTTTTGGTCTTTTTGTCAACCTTGGTTGGAATACTTGAGGAATCTCCTGATGTGCTCCTGAAGCACGCGGCTGTGGTTTGCATAGACAGGGTTGCAGAGAAGTATGGAAAGAAAGATCCAGATTTTGTGGTAGGAGCAGCTAGAGTCGTTGCTGGGGAGAGTTGCATTGGCCAGGCTGATGACCGCATCCGCGTAATTGGGATGTTATGTCTTGCTTCCATCACTGAAGTCCTTGGTGAAGCCATAATCCCCGTCCTACCGGAGATCTTTTCACGTTCCTTTGGTCTTCTAAAAGCGACCTTGAGGTCTAGCAGGAAATATCTTCAATTGCACGATGCGATCTATTCGCTCATCTCTGCCCTTCTTTCCCATATTCCGTGGATGATATCAGATTATCACCTAAATAACATTCTTCAGTTATCCTTCATGTCGGCGGCTGCAGACCTTCCAGAAGAATGCAACGATAACCGTCGTGAGGCATTGAGACTTCTTGCAAGGCATGTGGATGTTAACGAAACCTTCAAAGCTGTCGAGTTTAATTGGTCGTTTGCACTCTCTGAAGGCCCCAAG